ATCATGTAACGCCAAATGTTCTACCTCTTAGTGTTATAGTAGTATACACGGCTGTTATTCTACAGCCTCCTTACATTATCATGTAACGCCACATGTTCTACCTCGTAGTGTTATAGTAGTATACAAGGCCGTCTTTCTACAGCCTCCTTACATTATCATGAAAAGCCAAATTTTCTACCTCGTAGTGTTATAGTAGTATACAAGGCCGTCTTTCTACAGCCTCCTTACATTATCATGTAACGCCAGATGTTCTACCTCGTAGTGTTATAGTAGTATACAAGGCCGTCTTTCTACAACATCCTTACATTATCATGTAACGCCATATGTTCTACCTCGTAGTGTTATAGTAGTATACACAGACCTTTTTCTACCGCCTTACATTATCATGTAACGCCACATGTTCTACCTAGTAGTGTTATAGTAGTATACAAGCGCATCTTTCTACAGCCTCCTTACATTATCATGTAACGCCATATGTTGTACCTCGTAGTGTTATAGTAGTATACAAGGCCGTCTTTCTACCGCCTTACATTATCATGTAACGCCACATGTTCTACCTAGTAGTGTTATAGTAGTATAGAAGGCCGTCTTTCTAAAGTCTCCTTACATTTTCATGAAACGCCACATGTTCTACCTCGTAGTGTTATAGTAGTATACAAGGCTGTCTTTCTACAACCTCCTTACATTATCATGAAACGCCACATGTTCTACCTCGTAGTGTTATAGTAGTATACACAGCCGTCTTTCTAAGGTCTCCTTACATTATCATGTAACGCCACATGTTCTACCTCTTAGTGTTATAGTAGTATACACGGCTGTCTTTCTACAGCCTCCTTACATTATCATGTAACGCCACATGTTCTACCTCGTAGTGTGATAGTAGTATACAAGGCCGTCTTTCTGAGGCCTCCTTACATTATCATGTCACGCCACATGTTCTACCTCGTAGTGTTATAGTAGTATACAAGGCCGTCTTTCTACAGCCTCCTTACATTATCATGTAACGCCACATGTTCTACCTAGAAGTGTTATAGTAGTAAACAAGGCAGTCTTACTACAGCATCCTTACATTATCATGTAACGCCACATGTTCTACCTCGTAGTGTTATAGTAGTATACAAGGCCGTCTTTCTACAGCCTCCTTACATTATCATGTAACGCCACATGTTCTACCTAGAAGTGTTATAGTAGTAAACAAGGCAGTCTTACTACAGCATCCTTACATTATCATGTAACGCCACATGTTCTACCTAGTAGTGTTATAGTAGTATACAAGGCCGTCTTTCTTCCGTCTTACATTAACAGGTAACGCCACATGTTCTACCTAGTAGTGTTATAGTAGTATACAGAGCCGTCTTTTTACCGTCTTACATTAACAGGTAACGCCACATGTTCTACCTCGTAGTGTGATAGTAGTATAAAAGGCCGTCTTTCTAAAGCCTCCTTACATTATCATGTAACGCCACATGTTCTACCTCGTAGTGTTATAGTAGTATACAAGGCCGTCTTTCTACAGCCCCCTAACATTAAAATGTAACGCCACAATTTCTACCTCGTAGTGTTATAGTAGTATACAAGGCCGTCTTTGTACAGCCTCCTTACATTATCATGTAACGCCACATGTTCTACCTAGTAGTGTTATAGTAGTATACAAGGCCGTATTTCTACAGCCTCCTTACATTATCATGTAACGCCACATGTTCTACCTCGTAGTGTTATGGTAGTATACACAGCCGTCTTTCTACAGCCTCCTTACATTATCATGTAACGCCACATGTTCTACCTCGTAGTGTTATGGTAGTATACAAGGCCGTCTTTCTTCAGCCTCCTAACATTATCATGTAATGCCACATGTTCTACCTCGTAGTGTTATAGTAGTATACAAGGCCGTCTTTCTACAGACTCTTTACATTATCATGTAACGCCAGATTTTCTACCTCGTAGTGTTATAGTAGTATACAAGGCCGTCTTTCTACAGCCTGCTTACATTATCATGTAACGCCACATGTTCTACCTAGTAGTGTTATAGTAGTATACAAGGCCGTCTTTCTACAGCCTCCTTACATTATCATGAAACGCCACATGTTCTACCATTGAGTGTTATAGTAGTATACAAAGCCGTCTTTCTACAACCGCCTTACATTATCATGTAACGCCACATGTTCTACCTAGTAGTGTTATAGTAGTATACAAGGCCGTCTTTCTACAGCCTCCTTACATTATTATGTAACGCCACATGTTCTACCTCGTAGTGTTATAGTAGTATACACGGCCGTCTTTCTACAGCCTCCTTACATTATCATGTAACGCCAGATGTTTAACCTCGTAGTGTTATAGTAGTATACACGGTCGTCTTTCTACAACCTCCTTACATTATCATGTAACGCCAGATGTTCTACCTCGTAGTGTGATAGTAGTATACAAGGCCGTCTTTCTACAGCCTCCTTACATTATCATGTAACGCCAGATGTTTTACCTCGTAGTGTTATAGTAGTATACACGGTCGTCTTTCTACAACCTCCTTACATTATCATGTAACGCCACATGTTCTACCTCGTAGTGTGATAGTAGTATAAAAGGCCGTCTTTCTAAAGCCTACTTACATTATCATGTAACGCCACATGTTCTACCTCGTAGTGTTATAGTAGTATACAAGGCCGTCTTTCTCCAGTCTCCTTACATTATCATGTAACGCCACAATTTCTACCTCGTAGTGTTATAGTAGTATACAAGGCTGTCTTTCTACAGCCTCCTTACATTATCATGTAACGCCAGATTTTCTACCTCGTAGTGTGATAGTAGTATACAAGGCCGTCTTTCTAAAGCCTCCTTACATTATCATGTAACACCACATGTTCTTCCTCGTAGTGTTATAGTAGTATACAAGGCCGTCTTTCTACAGCCTCCTTACATTATCATGTAACGCCACATGTTCTACCTCGTAGTGTTATGGTAGTATACAAGGCCGTCTTTCTACAGCCTCCTAACATTATCATGTAACGCCACATGTTCTACCTCGTAGTGTTATAGTAGTATAGAAGGCCGTCTTTCTACAGCCCCCTAACATTATCATGTAACGCCACAATTTCTACCTCGTAGTGTTATAGTAGTATACAAGGCCGTCTTTCTACAGCCTCCTTACATTATCATGTAACGCCACATGTTCTACCTCGTAGTGTTATAGTAGTATACACGGCCGTATTTCTACAGCCTCATTACATTATGATGTAACGCCACATGTTCTACCTCGTAGTGTTATGGTAGTATACAAGGCCGTCTTTCTACAGCCTCCTTACATTATCATGTAACGCCACATGTTCTACCTCGTAGTGTTATAGTAGTATACAAGGCCGTCTTTCTACAGCCTCCTTACATTATCATGTAACGCCACATGTTCTACCTCGTAGTGTTATAGTAGTATACACGGCCGTATTTCTACAGCCTCCTTACATTATCATGTAACGCCACATGTTCTACCTAGTAGTGTTATAGTAGTATACACGGCCGTCTTTCCACCGTCTTACATTAACAGGTAACGCCACATGTTCTACCTGTTAGTGTTAAAGTAGTATACAAGGCCGTCTTTCTACAGCCTCCTTACATTATCATGTAATGCCACATGTTCTACCTCGTAGTGTTATAGTAGTATACACAGCCGTTTTTCTACCGCCTTACATTATCATGTAACGCCACATGTTGTACGTAGTAGTGTTATAGTAGTATACAAGGCCGTCTTTCTACAGCCTCCTTACATTATCATGTAACGCCACAATTTCTACCTCGTAGTGTTATAGTAGTATACACAGCCGTCTTTCTACAGCCTCCTTACATTATCATGTAACGCCACATGTTCTACCTCGCAGTGTTATAGTAGTATACACAGCCGTCTTTCTACCTCCTTACATTATCATGTAACGCCACATGTTCTACCTCGTAGTGTTATAGTAGTCACTCATTTTCACCCTCCGAAGTTTTGTACCTTTTAACGTGTTCTTAAAGTGTATGGCTTCTGCAGTTTTTAGAGGTTAATGTATTCACGATACACATGAGGAAAATGACCGGAGCTGCGGGTTGTTCAATGCGTATGACAGGTCCCTCCAATCACTACTGCCCCTTCTACTGCCATCTGTTGTCGGAGTACCTGATCATCTCTCGTGTGATGAGGTCAAAGAGAAAACAATATATCTTCCCCGGTCCCATGACCAAAGGAGTTGATAAGTTGGTGATAAGTTCATTTCCTGACACGATGACAGCCTGGTTGGTCCTACGACACACGTATCTGTCACAACACGTCCAAGTATACATTAGGGCTTCGTTAGTCACAACCTTCCACATATTAATATTCAGTTCTTTATCAACGGTTGGCTTTTCGTACCACAATAAACCCTTGCGAGCTGGTCCAGACAACCGGAGACCCCTTGTGCCACATTATTAAGTACCCATATCATAAAGGGGATGACAGAAGGATAGATGTTCCCACATTAATCGATCATCCCTGTCAACTCCTTATCGACAAGATTTCCTCTCCGACAAGACACCAAAGGTAAGTGTATCCGAACATTATGGTCCCAGGTCAGTGAACAAGACCTTAAACCTGTTGTCGTTTGTGTGTTGTTACTCCCAATGACATTTTCACTTTATATGTATCACTGTATATGTGCCCGAATAGATTTTCACCGACGTGATCGTTGTATATGTGCCCGAAAAGATTTCCAGCGACGTGAATGTTGTATACGAGCCCGAAGAAACTTCTACTGACGTGTTCATTGTATATGTGCCCGGATGGACGTCCACTAACGTGTTCGCTGTATGTGTGCCCGAATAGATTTCTACTGACGTGTTCACTGGATATGTGGCCGAATATATTAACATATATGTATGTCTTGGAGTGCATGCCACCTTCGTACTCCCTGAATATGTGCCTTGAGAAGAAAGCTAGACAGACAGACAGACAGACAATTAGACAGATAGTTGTTTGTTTTTGAAATGAAAAGCGAAACTGACAATGGAATGATTTATTACACACAATGGGTGCATTGTTATGCAAGTCATGCGGTATACGTAGCTGCTGAAAATAGAAAATGTTGCAACCTGTATCGTTTCAACATACCAAACTTGCGTAATATAACTGTTAACACATGTCTACTATGCATAATATGGCACGTTCAAAGTGAATTTATCGCCATTGACCAACGGTAACTGACAAGACTCCAGTGGTACAGCAGCTCACCTACATGTCCTCGCAATTCACGTGTTGACGCAAAGACAGTATACCGTTGATGGAAGCACATCATATAATGCCATCATCATTCAAGTGTACTGCACATGCTATAGACATTGATTTGTGTCACTTCTGTCAAACAGTTACATAGTTGTGTGTCACTTTGCTCAGAAACAGGATTCTAAATGATGAGACGTAGCAAGTCGCTCTTTACGCACTTCTGCCTGCCAATCAAGACCCTGATATCAGTAAAATATGGAAGAATGTGTACGAAACTCGATGTGTTATATATGGCTGTAGTTGCGGTCATTCTAATCAGCGATGACATTAGCAGTTGAAAACAATCACTCTGCCGAATATCAGCACCACGGAGCAAACCTTGGAAAGGTCATATTGAATAGTTCACATCCATTATTAGTTGTATGTGCGGTATCAGTTCGACCTTATCTCGGGGTAGGTGTCACGTCGCAATTCACTAAGCAGATTTACATCCTTTCATCGTGGGTTCGATCCTAGATCCGATTGTCCAGATGATGAATCTTGTTTTACTGACACCAATTCCATTCCTATGGGTTTCATCAAAATGGTAAAACGTCATATAACTGAAATAACGTTCAAAGCAGCATACAATCAAACTCCCTCACCTACCTCTAGTGTCATAGCACTGTGTTACGGTGTTCGAGAGAAATGTGTACCTGAACAAAAACCAATTATCAACGGGAAACTAAGTGAATTACCTATATGAATGATGAATATGTGTATATTTCCATAATACTGATTGGTCACGTCTGAAGGGTAACTCTGGGATGCTCCACCGTGAATGCCGTGACAAATGTATCGCCCTAACTGCACATGTGAATCCATACAGTGATTGGAAATGTGAACGCTAAACCATATTTCCGTTTTTCTGTTGTTCAGTCCATTGAACACGTCGCTAACGGCGACTAAAGTGTAATCTTACACGACCTTCACGTGCTTGAACACATTGATGAGACAAATACGCACTTGGCATGGATGATACAATATGAGTATTACGTCACGTGTGCATAAAAAGGACGTTACGACATTAAGATATTAAGATAACCTCCACTCCAAGAGTGTATACCTGTTACAAGAAGCACTATTCCTCAAATAAATTCCCAATTACGCTGATATAAATGTACTCAAAATTAAACCTGAAAAGGTCAATAAAAGTAACACGCCTACCATTTACAACGCTGGAAGGCCTTCCATGTCAACAAACATATTTTCACTTAAGATGTAATTGCTATTTGATGCTGATTATACTCTGACACGCACTCAGCAAGTTTTTCTGAGTACGTACTAAAACACAACTCAGGAGCTCTACAAAGTGAGAATGTCACAAAGCGGAAGTATGATATAAGTATAACTTAAATAGTGAATAAGTGAATGCCAGTGAAGCATCAATAATGTCCCCTGTAGGAGGCCAAGGTTTCCACGTTGTAAATGTGCAAGAAGAGCAGACAGGTGTCACTAAGATTCCCAGTCTGCACACGTGCTGTGACTGCCGAAACTAACACTTGAAAACCGTCCAATATCCGTGACAAATATTACGCTAAGACGTAAAAGTTATTTTGTGACTAAGTCACATTTGCTAATAGCTGTGTTACGTGTCTACTAAATCCAGACACGTACTAGTCACATGAACCAGGGATATATCAACTTTTGTGTAATTCTTTTGATTAGGAATGGAATTTAACCCGTGTGAATATATGCAAAAATGGCCTCCTTTTGGCCGGCGTATTTGTTCGTAAACCACGGGGAGATGGTCTCCTGGCTTTTCTGCGCTTGCCCCAATTTCTGTTCCTAGGTAGCACGAGCTTGACCTCTCGCCCACATCTGCGACAGTCTACACGAAGTTTCAGCGTGCTGAGGGGTGGTTCCACTAGAGTCTGAATCAAGCTGATCGGTAGACTTAACTTCTGCCATCTCGTTTTTTTCACTTTAGTCCTGAGGTACGTGAGGAGAACAAGGCCCTTGTCTTTCAACTGAAATACTTTTAGTACTATACGCTTCCCCTTTTTAGTTTTCCCGCGTTTTTTCACAAGTACCCACAGATTTGCACTGAGAACTTCCAACTCTTTTCTTTTCCTACTTGTATCTAGCACGAACTCCAGTATGCTCGAATCTTCCTTCCTTCCTGAAAAGTAGCACATATTTTAAAAGTTTACTATTACCTATTACATTATGGAATGCAGACAGTATAATATGACGAGGAAGAACGTGATTATACATTATTAGATATCTGATTCATTGTCGTTGGTATTACTAGTAATACAGTCACGATTCAGGCAATTATGACAACATATATCCCATATCCATATTTTGGTGCAACATGAATTTCAGCTACATACACAACGTTGAGTTCCTACCTATCGCTTGGGAGAAAGTGATGATTTCCTCTTTCTCAGCTTGTTGGGGTACACTATGTTTCCTGGGAATTCCATCCGACTGCATGGGCGAGCCATGTCTCCCAATTCTCAGAGCTGTCTCAAGGCGCATGCGTATAAGCTGTAACCTCTTAAGTTGCTGGATGTCCTTGCCCAGGGATCCCCGACAGTCACTACAGTTCTTGAAGTAGCGGGGTATGTTGAGGGCCTCCACTCTGTTGCTTGTCGGGGCAAAGGCAATGAGAAACGATGCTATCAGGTAGGTGGCAAATGTGATCCCAACACTCACAGTGTCCATTTTATTCTTGATTCACTTTGGTTACGTCAAACTAAACCTGAAAAACAAAGCCGTCGATACAATAAAACACATGAGGCAATTCAAAAATGTCGACGCAAATGTGAAACAAGTTGTAGTTAGTTTTCAACAATGTAGTAGTAAGTCTTCAACAATGTTGTCGTAAGTTTTTAACAATGTAGCAGTAAGTCTTCAACAATGTTGTCGTAAGTCTTCAACAATGTCGTCGTAAGTGTCCAACAAAGCTGTCGTAAGTCTTCAACAATGCTGTTGTAAGTCTTCAATAATGTCGTTAGTGTGCAACAATGCTGTACTAAGTCATCAACAATGTCGTCGTAAGTGTCCAACAAAGCTCTCGTAAGTCTTCAACAATGCTGTTGTAAGTCTTCAATAATGTCGTTAGTGTGCAACAATGCTGTACTAAGTCATCAACAAAGTCGTCGTAAGTGCTAAAAATGCTGTACTAAGTCTTCAACAATATCGTCTGAAGTGTGCAACAAAGCTGTAGTAAGTCTTCAACAATTTCGTCGTAAGTGCTAAGAAATGCTGTAGTAAGTCTTCAACAATGAAGTAGTAAGTCTTCAACAGTGCTGTAGTAAGTCCTCAACAATGTCGTCGTAAGTGTGCAACAATGCTGTAGTATGTCTTCAACAATGTCGTCATAGGTGTGCAACAATGATGTAGTAAGTCTTCAACAGTGCCGTCGTAAGTGTGAGACAATGCTGTTGTTAGTCTTCAACAAGGCTGTAGTAGGTCTTCAACAATGGCGTCGTAAGTGTGCAACTATGCTGCAGTATGTCTTCAACAATGTTGTTGTAAGTCTTCAACAATGTTGTAGTAAGTTTTCAACAATGTCGTCGTAAGTGTGCAACAATGCTGTAGTAAGTCTTCAACACTGTTGTAGTAAGTGTGCAACCATGCTGTAGTAAGTCTTCAACAATGTAATAGTAAGTCTTCAACAATGTCGTCGTAAGTGTGCGACAATGCTGTAGTAAGTCTTCAACAATGTCGTCATAGGTGTGCAACAATGATGTAGTAAGTCTTCAACAGTGCCGTCGTAAGTGTGAGACAATGCTGTTGTTAGTCTTCAACAAGGCTGTAGTAGGTCTTCAACAATGGCGTCGTAAGTGTGCAACTATGCTGCAGTATGTCTTCAACAATGTTGTTGTAAGTCTTCAACAATGTTGTAGTAAGTTTTCAACAATGTCGTCGTAAGTGTGCAACAATGCTGTAGTAAGTCTTCAACACTGTTGTAGTAAGTGTGCAACCATGCTGTAGTAAGTCTTCAACAATGTAATAGTAAGTCTTCAACAATGTCGTCGTAAGTGTGCGACAATGCTGTAGTAAGTCTTCAACAATGTCGTCATAGGTGTGCAACAATGATGTAGTAAGTCTTCAACAGTGCCGTCGTAAGTGTGAGACAATGCTGTTGTTAGTCTTCAACAAGGCTGTAGTAGGTCTTCAACAATGGCGTCGTAAGTGTGCAACTATGCTGCAGTATGTCTTCAACAATGTTGTTGTAAGTCTTCAACAATGTTGTAGTAAGTTTTCAACAATGTCGTCTTAAGTGTGCAACAATGCTGTAGTAAGTCTTCAACACTGTTGTAGTAAGTGTGCAACCATGCTGTAGTAAGTCTTCAACAATGTAATAGTAAGTCTTCAACAATGTCGTCGTAAGTGTGCGACAATGCTGTAGTATGTCTTCAACAATGTCGTCGTAAGTGTGCAACAGTTCTGTAGCAAGTCTTCAGCAATGTTGTCGTAAGTGTGCAACAAAGCTGTAGTAAGTCTTCAACAATTTCGTCGTAAGTGCTAAAAAATGCTCTAGTAAGTCTTCAACAATGAAGTAGTAAGTCTTCAACAATGCTGTAGTAAGTCCTCAACAATGTCGTCGTAAGTGTGCAACAATGCTGTAGTATGTCTGCAACAATGTCGTCATAGGTGTGCAACAATGATGTAGTAAGTCTTCAACAGTGCCGTCGTAAGTGTGCGACAATGCTGTTGTTAATCTTAAACAAGGCTGTAGTAAGTCTTCAACAATGGCGTCGTAAGTGTGCAACAGTGCTGTAGCAAGTCTTCAACAATGTAGTAGTAAGTCTTCAATAAAGTAGTAGTAAGTCTTCAATAATGTAGTAGTAAGTCTTCAACAATGTAGTAGTAAGTCTTCAACAATGTAGTAGTAAGTGTGCACCAGTGCTGTAGTATGTCTTCAACAATGTTGAAGTAAGTCTTTAAAAATGTAGTAGTCAGTCTTCAACATTGTTGTTTCAAGTCTTCAACAATTAAGTAGTAAGTCTTCGGGGGAAATGCTATTCTCACACACGCTAGACGTTCAAAGTCACGAGAGGTGAGGTGAGGTGAAAAGGGGTGCAACGTCCCGTCCACGATTATTGCACTTATATAGCGACGTGCATGAACGTATGTGTGTGTGCGTATGTGTGTGGCTGCTTGTACTAGTCCGACCGTATACATATTTTATAGTGCTAGCCCTCTGAGATACCATCATGGATGCCCCACTCAGACACAGTATACTGACTACGTGCCGACCAGTTCTTGTTTTCGCACCTTAACGGCAAGGCAAGGTAGCAAAAAGTACCATATTTTTACGCCTTATTAATGACGCGGCCGGGGATCGAAGCCTAGACCTTCCGCTCTCCGCTCTTCCACTAGGCCACTAGTCACCAGAAGGACATACAACTAAACGTATATGATATGATTTTCAATTCACTCTATCTTAAAATCATAAAAGCATTTCAGTTGGTAACCACGGTAATCTTACCAACTGATTCAAAACTGAGGTAGAGTCGAGTGTAAGACGTCACTTTGCTGCATTTTTGAGAGCAAAACAGCATGACGTGTCGTCATAAACTAATATTGTTACATGAACGAAGCAATAGGTTGAATTTAGTGAGGATTTTGGAAGTGTTGGATTTTCACATTCTTTTCGTTCTTGAAATGAATGTTAGAATTGATTCATTTATGTCCCTTCTGATTAGATAGTCGGTCGAAAAAGTCATAAACGTCAATCTTCGCAGTTCGTGTGTTAATTTCTATATATAATAGTTTAAAACAAACTGTTCAAACCACTCGAAGCATCATCAAACAGAATTGAGTTGACCTGAGTTGGCTGTGACGTCACACGCACTCAGGGGGCCGGTGGAGTGGAGTGTTAAAGGTACTGTCGTGTTTGTGCAGATTGCAGTGTTGCAAAGTTGAACCAGTCACGTAAAACGACATGTATTGAAAGTTAATGGGCGAGCTATGGCATCGGATGGAAGTAATATCCCATGCGTATCGAAGTTTGTATAACAAGATATAACAATGGTCCTTTTTGCCACACGAGACCTGCACAATTCAGAAAATGAGGAAAACTTTTAGAAATTCTTATGAAAGTTATCCGAGCTGTTCACGTGAATGGTTCGTTTCAACACCAAATGCACACGTAAACATATTCAAAAAACATTTATCTAATATTTAAACAAATCTTTGAACCAGATTAGTGTTCACAAAGGTAAATCCAATAAATCACTTCCCCTGAGAAAGTATATCTATCTGCCCCTCCACATACATGACAACACAGATCAGCAAGTATATCTATCTGCCCCTCCACATACATGACAACACAGGTAAGCAAGTATATCTATCTGTACCTCCACATACATGACAGCACAGGTCAGCAAGTATATCTATCTGCCCCTCCACATACATGACAACACAGGTCAGCAAGTATATCTATCTGTACCTCCACATACATGACAACACAGGTCAGCAAGTATATCTATCTGTACCTCCACATACATGACAGCACAGGTCAGCAAGTATATCTATCTGTCCCTCCACATACATGACAACACAGGTCAGCAAGTATATCTATCTGCCCCTCCACATACATGACAACACAGATCAGCAAGTATATCTATCTGCCCCTCCACATACATGACAGCACAGGTCAGCAAGTATATCTATCTGTCCCTCCACATACATGACAGCACAGGTCAGCAAGTATATCTATCTGTACCTCCACATACATGACAGCACAGGTCAGCAAGTATATCTATCTGTACCTCCACATACATGACAGCACAGGTCAGCAAGTATATCTATCTGTACCTCCACATACATGACAACACAGATCAGCAAGTATATCTATCTGCCCCTCCACATACATGACAACACAGGTCAGCAAGTATATCTATCTGTACCTCCACATACATGACAACACAGGTCAGCAAGTATATCTATCTGCCCCTCCACATACATGACAACACAGATCAGCAAGTATATCTATCTGCCCCTCCACATACATGACAGCACAGGTCAGCAAGTATATCTATCTGTCCCTCCACATACATGACAGCACAGGTCAGCAAGTATATCTATCTGTCCCTCCACATACATGACAGCACAGGTCAGCAAGTATATCTATCTGTCCCTCCACATACATGACAGCACAGGTCAGCAAGTATATCTAATTTCCCCTCCACATACATGACAACACAGGTCAGCAAGTATATCTATCTGCCCCTCCACATACATGACAGCACATGTCAGCAAGTATATCTATCTGCCCCTACAAATACATGACAGCACAGGTCAGCAAGTATATCTATCTGTCCCTCCACATACATGACAGCACAGGTCAGCAAGTATATCTATCTGCCCCTACACATACATGACAGCACAGGTCAGCAAGTATATCTATCTGTCCCTCCACATACATGACAGCACAGTTCAGCACGTATATCTATCTGTACCTCCACATACATGACAACACAGGTCAGCACGTATATCTATCTGTCCCTCCACATGCATGACAGCACAGGTCAGCAAGTTTATCTATCTGCCCCTCTAAATACATGACAGCACAGTTCAGCACGTATATCTATCTGTACCTCCACATACATGACAACACAGGTCAGCAAGTATATCTATCTGCCCCTACAAATACATGACAACACAGGTCAGTAGGTATATCTATCTGCCCCTCCACATGCATGACAGCACAGGTCAGCAAGTTTATCTATCTGCCCCTCTAAATAC